ATGTATGTAAAATTTAAAAATAGTCAAAGCAATATAGTTTTTTAATACAGCGTTGCAAAATAGTATTGGAATGAATGAGAGAAACGAGTGAGTGAGAAAAGAGGAAAATATATACACCAAGTCCACATTTTATGGCTCTGAGGCCGAAATATAGTTTATTACTATGTTATATGTTATAAATAAATTTATACAATTCTTAATTATATTACTATTAAATAACAATGAATTATAGTTCATTTATAGTTTTATAATATATAACATATGTGGGATGGGCAAATTCTGAGAAAGGGCTCAGAACTTTTCCCAACAATTGCAAACAGATGTCCCAAGTGGTATACCATAAACTGTAGAGAAAGTTAGACCTGGGACTTGGGATCGTTTATGGCGAGTTCTCCAGGCCTTGCGTTTAAGACACTAAGGGTATAGATGCGTTGTGTGTATGTGTGTATGCATGTGGGAATGACGAATTTTGTGCAGATAAAGAAGACAGTGAGTATTGAGAAGCCAGAGAGTGAGTGTCGAGAAGTCAGAGAGAGAGTGAAGAATGAGCGAGCAGTGAAAGAGAGAAGACAGTGAGTTGAGAGTTGCGCGCGCGAGAGAGAGAGAGAAGACAGTGAATTGAGAGTCGCGAGTCTAGCGAGTTTAGTAATTAAGGAAATAGTGTAAAATGTCACTTTATAATCATTATTAAACAAATCTCCTTTTATTTAACCTGAAATAAACAACCATCTTTTATTAAAATTCCTACAAATTGGGATAATCTCAAGCCGAGATTCCTACAAATTGGGGGCTCAGCCACGGATGTTACCGACACAGAGTCATATCAGTGCGACGGAACAGTGAATTAAAGATGAAAATTGTGTCATTTCAAAATAGTGCAGTTAAGGAAAGAGCAACGATGAATTCTGTAACGAAATCCACCCACGAGTTTTCGCTAGCGCAGCTAAGAGAAAAATTGAAAAAGAGAGGACTGCCAGGCACGAAAACGGAGTTGACCACACGACTGAATGAAGCGGATCCATCCGGTGAATGAATGAGAAGCCGAGAAGTTTGCAAAGAAGAATCTAACGTATCTGAGAGTGAGATCGAGCATGTGCGTCGGCTATTGGAGCAGAGCGAAAGAAAAAGCTCTGGCAGAGCGCGAGCTTGATCTAGTGTGACAATAGATCGAGCTATTGAAAGAGATGCAACGATTAAGCGTTCGAGATCAAGAGCGAGAAATAACAGTGCAGAGAATACCACCTGTAAGCATCGCCGAATTATTAAGCAATTTTGACGGGAGTGCAAACACTTTCAAGACGTGGGAGCGGCGAGTAATAGAGTTGAAAAATACCTATAAGTTGTCTGATAATATGGCGAAATTATTAATCGGGTCGCAATTGAAGGGCAATGCGTTAGAATGGTTGCATTCCAAACCCGAATATGTTTCTATGCCTCTGAATGAATTATTAGACAACTTAAAGGAAATGTTTTACCATCCAGAGAATGTACTTGTGGCGAGACGGAAGTTTGAGGCACGTGTGTGGAAGACAGAAGAATCATTTAGCGAGTATCTACACGAAAAGGTCATCTTAGGCAACCGAGTGCCGATAAATGACGTAGAGATCATCGAGTACATCATCGAGGGGATATCAGATCTTGAGCCCTGCGAGACCTCGCGAGAGCTCAGAGGATAAAGATGAAGAAGGATCTATTGGAATCGTTCAAGAGGATCACGCTGCGAAGACGATTGGTGCTGAACACGACGCGTGAGCTTTCTAGATTTCAACCGAGGAAGACGGAGGAACCACCAGCGAAGAAAAAAATACAGATGAGAGAGGCGCCGAGGAACGAGTTTCGATGCTACAATTGTGGTGGGTTCGACCATCTAGCCGTGAATTGTCCATCGAAGAAAGAAGGTCCTAAGTGCTTCAAATGCAAAAAGTTTGGACACAGAGCTGAGAAATGCGAAGAAAAACAAGACATTAAACAAATAAGCGTGTGTAGTGTTGCGAACATACCAGATAATAAAATTTATAAACCGGTAATCATCGCGAAGAAAGAGATAGTAACGTTATTAGACACAGCGAGCGATATAAATTTAATAAAAGCCAGCCAGTACACTGGATAGGATCTCCGCCATTAATCGGACCCAAAATTAGAAGCAAGGGTTTCGGATCGAAGTTACTTACCACGTTAGGCAGTTTTCACACTGAGATAAAAATAGATGATGATGTTTTCAAATTATTAATTCACGTAATACCCAACGCATACAACCTTTTGATTGGATCCGATTTGTTAGCAGAGGCGCGGACCCTATTAGAGGGCAGCAACGCAAGAGTTTCAAGGCGCGAGCGTAAAGTAGAAGTAATCCTCCGATACCGCAGAAATTTTTCGCATAAACGTGGTTGACGAAATAGAAGATAGCGAGACCATTTTCGAGTATCAAAAGGACATTCAAGGTATCAAGGATGCTGTCGTTCGACAAGAGATTCAGGATCTTGTTCATAGTTACAAACCGAAAGCCACCAAAGCGGTCAATATCAAAACAGAAATAATATTGAAGTACGACACGCCAGTGTATCAACCCTCGCGTAGACTACCACGAAAGAAATCGTGAATAACCAAATAGAAGAATGGATACGAGAAGGGATCGTACAGGAGAGTTCGTCTGAATATGCCAGCCCGATAGTGCTGGTTGGGAAGAAAGACGGCGAGATGCAATTGTGTGTGGACTATAGACGCCTAAATGAGAAGACATATAAAGACCGTTATCCTCTCCTGTTAATAGGAGATCAGTTGGATCACTTACAGAGCTCGAAACTATTTAGCGTACTTGACTTGAAGGATGGTTTTTTCCATGAACAGCTACACGAAAATAGTCGGAAACCGCTTTCGTAGTACCAGACGGACATTATGAATTCTTAAACACGCCCTTCGGTTTCCTGGCTGTGTTCCAAAGATTCATTAACGCTGTATTTCGCGACCTGATAAGAGACGGCACGATGTTGACTTATTTAGACGATCTTATTGTTCCCTCATACAACGAGAGAGACGGCGTGCAGAAGCTGAGAAAAGTCCTACTTACTGCGAACGAGTATGAACTACGCAAATTTGGAAAAAGTGTCGTTTTCTTCAGCGCCGAATCGAGTATTTAGGTTGTGTGATCGAGGATGGAAACGTGCGTCTGTCAAAACGCAAAACATTAGCAGTAACGAATTTTCCACCGTTGAAAAATGCTAAAGATGTGCAGAGTTTTTTTAGGTTTGACCAATTACTTCCGGAAATTTGTTCCGCAATATTCATTGTTAGCTCACCCATTGTCAAAGCTGCTAAAAAAGGATGCGAAATTTGAGTTTGGCGAAGAGCAACAACTAGCGTTCCGACAGCTAAAGTTTGCGCTGGCTAGCGACCCAGTATTAAAATTATATCGTACGGGCGCGGAAACGGATCTTTACACGGAATTGCATCAAGTGTCGGCCTTGGTACGATTCTCTTACAGGAAGTAGACCAGCGTTTCCATCCAATACACTACGCGAGCTGGAAGACGACTGAAGCAAAGTCGCGGTACACGAGTTACGAACTCGAAGTCTTAGCCATTTTCAAAGCGATAAATAAGTTCAGGGTCTATCTACTAGGTATAAGATTTAAGATAGTGACCGATTGTCGTGCCTTCGTCTTCACCATGCGGAAGAAAGATCTGTGAGTGCGAGTTGCGAGGTGGGCGTTATTGTTGCAAGAGTTCGAATGTATGATCGTGCATCGCTCGTGCAATAATATGAAGAATGTTGACGCGCTAAGTCGAAATCCGGCGCCAGTGTGTATGGTGATGAACTAGTGTGAGTCCAGTGTGCTATTAAGATTGAGAAATGCGCAACGCGAAGACCCAGATCTAAAACCAATAATCGAGTCAGTGAGCAGTGAGAGAATTAGTAACAGTGAATATATCGTGAGAAACGGGCTTTGTAGAGTGCTGAACGACGACCCTCGCATTGTGGTGCACGTGCTATGCAGGCGCAGATTGTGCGGCAAATGCACGAAAACGGACATTTTTCGGCTGGCTAGACGGAAACCATTGTCAAAAGGGACTACTAGTTCGAAAACCTAAAAACTAAAGTAGACAAGGTTATGCGTAATTGTGTGACGTGCATCCTAGCCGAAAGGAAAAGTGGCAAGCGAGATGGTGTGCTACATTGAAAAAGGCGAAACTCCGTTAGAGGTGTACCATATTGATCATCTAGGCCCCTTTCCTTCGACCAAAAAGAACTATAAATACATTTTCGTAGTGGTGGATGCATTTTCGAAATTTGTGTGGTTATATACGACAAAAACGACCAACGCTGCTGAGGTCGTCAATCATTTGAGTAAGCAGGCAGCAATTTTTGGAAACCCTCGCAAGATTATACTGCGGGAATTTCAGCAGTATTGCGCGGAAGAAGAAATTGAACACAGTTTAATTACTACCGGAGTGCCCAGGGCAAATGGCCAAGTAGAACAAATGAACAGATCAATCATTCTTTTACTCACGAAGCTTTCCGCGCCTGATCCGGAAGAATGGCATAAATACTTAGATGTAATTCAGCGGTACCTAAACGCCACGACTCACCGTAGCATTGGTACGACTCCCTTCAAAATCCTTTTCTGAATAGAAATGAAATTAAAGAGTAACTCCGAAATCCGAGAGATTATATCAAGCGAATGAAGCAAAATGTTTCAGAAAGAAATCGCGATGAGTTCAGACGACATGCCAAAGAAAATATTTTGAAGGTGCAGCAGGAAAATCAACGAAATTACAACAAAAATCGTAAAGAAGCGCCGTACTATCAAGAAGGAGACCTAGTGGTATAAGACGAACACAAGTACGACCAGGCTTGAATCTTGCACCCAAATACTTAGGACCCTATCAAGTCACTCGAGCACTACGCAACGACAGATACGTTGTCGAGAAAGTAGACGAGCATGAGGGACCGCGGCAAACGTGAATTTTCTCAATCGTTGGCAAAGTCGTCAGTTTTTAGTACCTGCGAACTTGTCCACTTTCAGCTTTTCAAAGAGCAGCTTCCAATATACCTCAAGCTCGCGTATCTACGGTGAGAGAAGTTGCAGGACTTGGGGCTCGGTGTCTGAGCCGATGCAATTGTGAAGACGGGCTTATCACCTAAGTTCAGCCCACCACTCAGAAGCCCAAGAATCAGCATTTTCCAAATACATGATACCCCCTTTCTACTTCATAAAGTCCTATATCCAAATTAAACTATGAATAAAGGCATTCTTGTTCGCCTTCTCGTCAAGTCTATAATCGTACGTGATTATACGCGTCGGTATTTGATATTAAAAAGTGTTGTACTTAGAATATTTAACTCTAGAGTATTAACTTTCCTTAAAGTCATCGTGGTAATAGTCCCGTGACCGTGACACAGTCCTCGATAGCTTCGCTGTCCTGCAGTATCCCGTGCTGAAGGAACGTAATCGGATACTTTTGATAAGCGTGCACCAAATTGTGTTCGAACTCGCCGATGAAAAACAGCGTCAGCAGCTGCATGTGTTTCACGTGTAAATAGGTTGAATCTGAGGACGAGCGATCGATAGGTGAAGATTAATAGACTCTAACAATACAACACAGTGAAAACACAGTGCGTGATTTTCTGTGTACACGAGATGAGAACAACGATAGTTCGTTTTAAATATCAAGTCTGCGGGAAGCGTTCGAGAATCAAACCCAATTCCAAGCACTCCTCGGTGGTCTGGAGCGTCCTAGTGAACCGGGCGTAATTGAGTTGCCGAGGCCCAGATAAGTCCTGAGATCGTTCTGCTAGCCCTGTTGGATCGCCTTCTTGAAATACATCTGGGCGATCGGGTATTTCTCGAGGATTGCCAGCCGGTAGCCCCATTCTCGATAAACGATACCGTCCCTGAAGAACAGGGAACGTTCGTCGTCCATCGTCCATCGTCCTCACCATCTTGTGACGAATTTCACCTCTGTATGAATGAACAACGAGAAGTTTGTCGTCGAGAAACTAACCTGTCCCCTTCGATTCGACGTGTATACGCGCATACTTACGTTGATTCAGATTCAGAAATTTAAATTAAAAGGATCCACTGGGAGTTCGGAGGCTACTCTTCACTCGTGAATTTTGCATCGCGATCATATTTTTCCCAAAATTTTCGTGGTCGTCCGTGAAAGGAGACGAACGCTTCGCGCAACGTCGCGATAACTGATTTCGTACGATATACGTATGTATGTATGTACATGGGATGGTTTACACGCTGTTGCGTCCGAATCTCTCGTCTTTCTCTCTTTTTTGAAATATTTTCTCGCACCAACACATACAGACCCACTGTTGACTGTTGGTCACCTGTGGCCAACGGAGATTATTTCTTGGTGAGATGACCATAATGGTCATTAGTGACCGAAGTGCTTCAAATAAATAAAATAAAATGAATATTGTCGACTCAAAATTTTTGAACGTCACAGCTAACTATATTATGAAATAAAAAATGCACTGTTCAACAATTAAAGACTTTAATTGGATTAAAAAATTATATAAAATAAATATATAAATTTATATAAAAAAATATAATAAAAAATTAAAGTATGTAAATATAAAAAATTAAGTATGTGCATTATATAGGATCAGGGCCAAAAATCACTTCCTACTAAAATAAATCTATAATATTAAATTTAATTTAAAATTAATAAGATTAATTTTTTTTATATTTTGATATTTCATTTTTTAAAAAATAGGTGAGATGAAACTTTGCGTAAATTTGGCGTGATCATAAACGACGTATATCTGCAGAATATTTGAAAAAAGCGCAAAATTCACCAAATTTCGATGAAATTTTGCCAGAATCAAATGACACAAACGTCCTTCCCCTTCAGCCAGCCACCTGGCTGTGAAACGTTTATAAATGTAACGAACGCCATTTTCAAATGACCTTTCGGGCTGAAATCCCTGCAAACGAACGGGTGGTATTCCTTTGAATCGAGATGCGGATGAACGGACGTAATTCGCTTTCTATTCTAAAATAGTAGGACGCACTAATAAAGCTCCTTGTGGCATTAATTGTCACGCACGTCGAGGGATTACATTCAAATGGCCTAAGAGGATTTACTGGCGTAGCTTCTCTTTTTTTCACCCCTCCGTTCTCTTTATCCAACGTCCACCCAACGATTTTATAATACACGTACCATCAAACCGGTCGTTCCTTCTTACGCTGCTCTCTCTTTGCCGGTGTGTCGCGAATGTACAAGGCGTTCATAAAGTCTCTTTACAATTTCAAAAATTTATTACAAAGGCAAATGAAAAGACAGATAAGTGAAAATTATTACAAAATGAGACATGTATTTAAATTTTGTACTTAATATTATGTATTTAAATTTTTTTTTTTTTTGTTTGCTTCATTTAATAAACCTCTATGTGGGTACCATTAATTGCATGAAGCATATCAAGACGGTACTCGATTTCTTACATGATCGATGTTTTTCTCAGATATTCTTGATCGTCCACTCCTTCCTTTATCGAACATTGTCCCTGTCTCCATAAATTTCCATGCACGAATTGATGAACGTGACGGTGGATTTCTTCCATACTTAGTTCTGCAGTTTCGCTGAGTCCGCAGATCCGATTTGGTTTCAATAAATAATACATGATACACACTGTGCCTTCTCTCGAGGAGTAGCCATTTTGTAGGGGTACTATCATTTAATGGTATCTTATTCGTCAACAGGGTACCTGAAATGCAATGTGATAAAGAACACTTTGATAACCAGTAAGTACATAGAACAAATCTGATGGAGATATCTCATTAATTGCCTTTGTAACAAATTTTCGAAATTGTAAAGAGACATCATGGACACCCACATGGGATTAAAGATATCGTGTATCGAACAAAGGTACAGGACATCACTAATCTAAAGCAGAGGATCACTGATGCCATTGCCACCATTGATGAAGGTATGCTACAGCAAGAAATCGAGTACCGACTTGATGTGCTTCATGCAACTAATGTTAAATAAGATAAGAGAAAATTTAAATATATACGTCTCATTTTGTAATAATTTCCACTCATTTGTCTTTTCATTTACCTTTGTAATAAATAAATTTTTTAAATTGTAAAGGGATTTTACATTTTACACCCTGTACATATTGTATAAATGCAACGAAAAGAATCCATACACAATATTTTTTCATATCAGGTAGTTATCGAATCGGAAATCTTATCCTGCCCTAATAAAGTTCTGTGAAATTGTAAAATAACTAACAATTAGTCGTCTTTATTTCGCGTGGATCTCAACTTCAAGAATCCGGATCTCAATTTATGTGTTAGTCTATTACAAATATTATACTCGTCACACTTAATTCAGATTTGGACTTATTAGTTAGTTAACTAATTTATAACGTCACTTACGCATTAATTTATAACGCAATTTTAGATTTTAGTTTTTCAGCAATAAATGATATCATACGTGCCATGGAGAAAAATACTGCCACTTCATTTAAGAAAAAGTCTTATCAGGACTGTCTTCAATTACAACTAAAAGTCCTTTTGTTACCATTTTTAATACTTCCTCTTCTTCGCAATAAGGAGAACTTTCAATGCAGATTGAGACTTGGTAAAATCTGCAATAATTCCGTTCATCTTCGAGAAACAAGCTCGAAATATCTATTTATTTAACTAATAATAGTTCTTGTGACTAATATCTACTTAAATCGTGGAAGAAAATAATTTTATTTAATGTTTTTTTAATTTTATAAAATGAAAGTAAATTGGAATATCACTATTCCAAATTATCTGTGATGCAACAATATCATTACTGTGTTCCATTTTCAGTTAGACCACTTTAAAATACTATTGTGTCATTGTAATCTTTGTGTTATGTATTACAATTTGAAGTATAAAGTCATATTAGTTTCCCTATAATATTATCCTTTTGTTTCTATTTACTGTTATAATTATTCATCTTAAAAAGAATACTGAAATTCTAAATATGCTTATACTTTCTCTAACAGTAGTTTACTAAAATCAGAGGCTTATATAAAACTCCGCACCTGCACACTGTACGTACTTGAATTCGAAATCGCGTCGCCTAGATAGTTCATAATTTATTTTTCTTTATGGAACTATTTCCCTCTGGATTATATTATGAATATTAGGCACATTGTATACTAATAACAAATTCTGAAATACCATTGCTCCTTCCCTCAAACTTTCAGCACATATAATGTGTAACTATATTCAACTTGATGAATATGAGTGTCATATGTACTTTTAGCGAAAATCACATAAAAACTGAAAGGGTAAAACATCACTAAAACGGAAAAACCATCTGGATTTTTTATTGAACTTTTTCTTTTCACGACTTCACTGGTATTCGATCAAGTATTCCATAAACGTTTCTTTTGTGACATTACAAAATACAGACAAAATTTGTCTATTATCTTCAAACATCGTTATAGAGTGAACCCTTCCTCATAGATATTAAATAGATTTTGAATTTAACAATGATTCTGAAATTTTATTAAATAATGTTTAAGACAAAATGTTATCAGTTTAGATTAATAGATTAATGTTATAGTAGAGAATAATCTTTGTAAATTCAGGAAGATTATAATTTATTAAAATTTTAATATATGTATTAAAATTTATAAAATAAATTTCCAAGTTAAGACAGTTATAGCTATTAAATAATATTTTAAATTAATACTTAGTCCAAAATATCATAAATTGAAACGCATTAATATCATACTAGAGAATAATTTTTGCAAATCTATTCAAGGAAAAGTTTTACAAAACAATTTTTTTCAGACGTAGAGAATTGAATATTAAAAATTACACAGAACGTTAATAGAAAAGGGAGTGAAATCAGAAATAATATTCTTCTAGGAGCGGTATTATGAAGCCAGATGTCTATGTAAGTAATATGGTACAACCGACTTAATTATGGGGATATCTCGTCCACGATAACAAAAGGACTAATTATTATTATGCATGTTTAAAAATGTTAGTGCCAAACTTCATGACCATCAGTATTTATCAAAACAAGCAAAATGGTCTTAATAAATAATTAGCTTCGGAGTTATTTGATTTCTTTTTTACTTTAAACTTATAATACGACATAATAAAATCTATGCTGTCGAAAGAAATGCAACTATGTAAATAAACATTTATTAATGTATTAATGTCATTCAGTCTTTTTTCTTAATCAGAAGAATGTACTTTATTGCCCTAGTGTTACAGCATTCCATTGAAAATTCTTATCATGTGATAACAAAAATGAAAAGTGTATCAATAAAAATATATTTAGAAATGACGAAATGTACGAAAGACATGTCATACATTACACTGTGAATATAATATTTTAGTGACAAGAACATTTCATAACTCCGAAATTAATGAATCCACTTTGGATCCATGTTTATTAAAACTTTTATTTTTCTCTTAACTTTATGAATACTACACGTTCTTGAAATTTAACACCATCTTTTTGAACCCTGTAAAAAAACACGTTACGTGTTGCCTCAACTTAAATGGCCAAATTATCATTGCTTAATCTACTTAACAAACAGGTGAAAATGAAACGTTGTATAAAGTTTCTCGCCTTGTTACAAATTTATAAACAAACATTATATGTATACGTATTATATGTATATCATATGAAGTACACTTTTCCATAAATAATTACGCATTCTCCGACAGAAAACACAGAAGATCGATTGTGATTGACAGATTTTTCTTTCAAGTAGATTTTGTATTTTCTAATATTTTTCATTATATTCTTATATCTTTATTAATAGTTAATGACAAACAATCATCTTACATATGACAAAGATATAACTAACTAAAACAAAGATATTCGTTTTGTAACAGAAATGCTTAAGCTACCGTAAAAGAAATACTAACGTCGATATTTCGAAAGAAGAATATCTCATCTCTCTGTTTTTATTAACACCGGTTTGCAATTATGTAGGACAGGTTCATTTCAGATTCATGTAATTTACAATATATAGAACATAGATATGATCTTGGTAATTTCTCAAGTCGACAACGAGACTCAAATAGAATTTTATACTTTTCGACAACCTTTCTACATTAAATATTCGACTAGTCTCAATTGCAAAACTGCAGTTACCATGAAATGTTATTTAGAAAACAATAATTTTTTACGAAACAATAACTATTTCCAATTGATTACCAGAAACGAGTTGAATTTTCTGAATGGTATATGAATGTAGTAGCAAAGGTTTCTCATCCAGGATATTATGGACAGACGAAGCAAGGTTTACAAAAACAGAAAAACATACTTAATTTTCATAATAATCATGTATAATTATATGCATCTCAATGGAACAGTTTCTGAAACGTTTCTGTTAACCATTTTAGTGAAAAATGTGCCATTAGTGTCTTTCCTAAACGTCCATATTAGATATATTATATTAGATGGCTGCCCGTACATTACACGAAAAAAGTGAGAAACTATTTGAATGAAAAATACATTGATTGATGGGTAGACTGCAGTGGATCAGTTTTTTAGAATTTGAAATCAGACTTTACATTTCTTGATTTTGACTTATGGAGAGTCCTGAAAGAAAAGGTTTAAGCTACATAAGTGACTTCGTATGAAGAACTAATGCAAAGAATTGAAATTCACTAAAATTTTCATGAACTTTTTTGTGTTATTAAACTCCATTGTTAATCAATGTCAAGCTCATATCATATTTTGAGCAGAATCACATTTTGAAATAAGGTTTTAGAAATACTTTGTAATATCACATATCATTTTATAACCAATTATGGAAGACACAGAATTATTATTATAATGATAAACAGCAGATATTATATCTATGCAGATCACACAAACATAGTCAACCTTCTATATATCTTACTGAAAAATGTGTAGCTATCTACTTCATATATGTAATATTTGTTTATAACTCTGTAGCAAGGTGTTCTTAACAAATTTTATATTTTCATATTTTTTTTGCAGTTTGACCATTTCGGACACTGTATATTAATATTCGGATACTCTGTATATGTATTGTATAATAAACGAAAACAAAATTTATAAATAGATTTTGATGCATTTGGAAACATCTGGAGGTACAAAAGTGTCCAGAATGCATGTTATTATGAATTCACGGTTTATGTTCGAGTATTGTGTAACTTTGCACAACGACGTGCCGAAAGTTAAAGAAACAGAAGGTAATATTTAAGTATCCGACAGTATGATTTTAATTCTTATTCTACCGTGTTCTATTTTTATTCTGCTGCGCTAATAAGTAAATAAACGTATATGATTAAAAGTGATTTGACTTTAGAAAAAAAGTTCAGTATTTAATATTTAACCATCGATTTCATGTATGTACATCTAAGATATAAACTGTTATACATTCAGTTCCAAAGGTTTCCTTATAATATACATACAGATAAACTGTTTCTACAGAGAGTAATATATATATATTCTTTTGATTTAATATGACAACATAATTAATTGTTAGAGATGGATTCGAAACTAATTTTTAAGTTCTCGAAACTTGAATCCGAAACTTTGTAAGGTTCCAAAAATTTTAAAATTCAAAACTTTTGAAACTTGAAGTGCTGGTTTTATTTTGTAAAAAATATTTCTTGTTCCAAGTACTGGAATTAAAATCTCTGTATCAATTTTTATACCGTTAAATACAAACAAAATACAAATAAAAAACATCATGCAAAATTATTTAATCCGGATTCTTAATTAGAAACTAACAAAGCAATGTTTTCTGAAATTTTTGTCAACTTTTTTTTATTTACTATAATGCTAAATATATTAAAAATTCTTTCAGAGTATGTTTATGATGGTCATAATACTCTTTTTTTTTTTATAAATTTGTATGTTTTACAAATGTATTATCGCTCCAGCATTTCATTCCACAATCGATCGGATATCTACTTTAATCCTTAGAAACAA